ACGTTATCAATTGTACGTTTTAATTTTTGCCTCTCCCGATAATTTTTTTGAATTTCAGTCCTACTTTCTTTAAGTGTTTTTGATGCAATATTTCTTTCTTTATTTTATTTATAATTCTCGGGAAAGAAATGGATGTGTATGCTTCATCTGAATAATTTTCATTATCAATTTTACGTTTTAATTTTTGCCTCTTACGATAACTTTTTTGAATTTCAACCCTACTTTGTTTAAGTGTTGTTGATGCAATATTTTCTTCATTTATTTCATATATTATTCTCGAAAAAGAAATTTCTTTTTTAATAGAGTTTTTAGAAAAGTTTGATTCTCCATACTGAAGTTAAATATCTTTTTCATTTAAAAGTCAATTTTAGTCATACACAGCTATGCAAGATCTACTATTAGAAAGTTGTACAGAGGGAAATTTACATAAACTATTGTTTTCATACATTAACATTAAATGATTTCTAATATTACAATAATAGTAATTGACAGAGTAAGGCAGAATATTAAAAAACAACGATGTTGCAAATGCTATTGCATATACTCCATAAGAAAGACTGTATTCTGGTTGTTGATCAACAGCTGTGAAAACTACTGGCGGTTCAAATGGATATAATCTAATTAAATAATCTCTTTGATCATGATTTAAACATTTCTTATTAAGACTATCAAAAATGTAAAGGCTCATTCCATCATAATAAGTACAAATCCAATGACCAGATTTATATGATCCACTAAAAAGTATTTGAATGTGCTGCTTACTTTTCTCGATTGGAACTATCAAATCAATTGTTTGTAAACACAAAGTATTTTTCATATTATAAAAAAAATTTGATTGTCTTCCCAATAGCTTTTGAAATTCATACATATGATCATTATTTAGCATTGCTCCTTCAGTGACAACAATACTTAAATCATGAGTAGTCGAATTAACAGTTTCTCCTTTGTTAGACATTGTTCTTTTATTTTATAAAATTAACTTATATCAAGGAATTATAATCTTAAAAATAGTAATATTACATTAAAATTTTAACATCAAGTTTTATACATTGAATTATAAATTTTATAATTTCCTTTTATCCAATGTTACCAAATTTTGCCTCTTTTAGAAAATAACAACAAATTTACAATTCTCTCCTTATTCAAAACTTTCAAATTTTTCCTTTTATCAAATATAATCAATGTCCAATTTTGTCTTTCATGCAATTTAACTAATTTCCATTTTTGTCTCTTATCCAATATTTAACCAATTTACAATTTTCCTTTTCTCCAATTTAACCAACTTCCAGCTTTGTTTTTATCCAATATAAATAATTTACAATTTTTCCTTTAATCCAATTTATCCAATTTCCAGCTTTGTTTTATCCAATATAACCAATTTCCAATTTTTCCTTTCATCCAATTTAACCAATTTCCAGCTTTGTTTTTATCCAATATAAATAATTTACAATTTTTCCTTTTATACAATTTAACCAATTTCCAGCTTTGTTTTTATCCAATATAACGAATTTCTAATTTTGCCTTTTATCAAATTTAATTAATTTCCAGCTTTGCTTTTATCAAATTTAAACAATTTGCAGCTTTGTTTTTATCCAATATAATCAATTTCCAATTTTTAATTTCATCCAATTTAAACAATTTCCAGCTTTGTTTTTATCCAATAGAACTAATTTCCAATTTTTCCTTTTATCCAATATAACCGATTTCAAATTTTGCCTTTTATCCAATTACAGACGATTTCCAAATTGTAACAAAATTTTAAATTTATTGATAAACATCAAAAAAATTATTACAAATTTTTTAACTTTATTAATAATTAACATCAAAGACAAAACACAACTCAATTAATTATTTAATGATTGACAAAATTTAAAAAACAGTATTTTAATGTAATTCTATTATTATTTACTATTCACTTATTATCACTGATTATATTCACTAATACTTACTATTCACTAAATCACTATTTACTAATTCACGAAGTATTCACTAATAATTCACTTACTTAACTTTATATTCACTCATATAATATAGTGAGTGAATTTACCAGTGAATTATAAAGATTTTTTAATTTAATTTTCGTTGAAGACACGTAGAACGTGTCCCAAGGAAAATAATCTACGATATGATTTTTAAATTAAAAATAAATATTCGTTCTTATATTTAGGTATCAGGCCCTAAACGTGAGTGTCCTTTTTGCACTCGTAGATTGATTCTGAGGCTAATATATATTATATATAAATATTAGACCTGTATTAGACCCTACGAAGGATTACCGCAAACAATACGAACCCTTGAACAATAGTCCTTGTAAATGAGGGACCCAGGTAATAATATTTTCTTTCTTTCTTCATCGCAAGGAAAACTATAGATAAAAGTCAATATAAATATATATATATATACTTTTATAATTGAAACACAAAAGGTAACGTCTGGGTAACGGCGCCAGTAACGCCGGCTCTGGTTTCTCTCTTTCTCTAAAGGCAATATAAATGAGAATGTCTCTCTTTACCTAATTTGCATATCTACTCGTTTCATATTAAGGATTCTTAGAAAACTACAACAGCTGGAAAGAAATGGAGGTTTCTACATGAATGGCAATTCTTTCCATATTCCTCGAAATTCGCAGTTCCGTGCAGACATTTTGTACACAGGAGTTCCAAATCCAACGCGCCAAATATATCCAAGATATTTCCCATATTCACGTTCACCTTCTGCACCATTTACAACAAACCAATGCATGCAACAAACATCAATTCCATCATGTTCATCGTACTCACAATTTCCATCATGTTCATCGCACACGCAAATTTCTCCATGCTCATCACAGACACAAATTCCATCATGCTCTCATCATTCATGTTATCGTTCTAGATGTTGTAATTAAAATATAATTTGATTAAATAAAAAAGAATATTAATTAAATAAATAGTTACATTTTTTAAAAATATGTTTTTAATTTTAATAAATTCTGTTTATATTAAAAAAAGAAAATTAAAAATTAAAAGAATTTAAAAATAATAAATTAATTAATTGAAAAAGTTAATAAAATAATAAAAATAACTTTATTTAAATAAAAAAAATTATAATTAATTTAAATGTTTATAAATAATAAAAATGATGTTATATTGAATTTTATTTATATTGAAAAAAGAAAATTAAAAATTAAAAGAATTTTAAAATAATAAATTAATTAATTTAAAAAGTTAATAAATAATAAAAATTAAGTTTATTTAAATAAAAATAAATTATAATTAATTTAAATGTTTATAAGTAATAAAAATGATGTTATATTGAATTCAGTTTATATTGAAAAAAGAAAATTAAAAATTAAAATAATTTTAATATAATAAATTAATTAATTTAAAAAGTTAATAAATAATAAAAATAACTTTATTTAAATAAAAATAATTTATAATTAATTTAAATGTTTATAAGTAATAAAAATGATGTTATTTAATTTAAAAAAATTATAATAAATAATAAAATATGAAATAATTTGAAAAGTAAATTAATATTAAAAGAAATATTTTTATATAATTAGATATGAATTATTTATTTAAAATATATATATTAACAATTAACAAAATTTAATTTTTCTTTGCTGATTTATTTTTTTCTCCCATTCTTCAACAGATTTTAAAAGATCCTCATCAGACTTTGTGAGATCTGAAAATACTTTTTATAAATGACGGGTTCCACGTCAAGTGCCCCAGGTCAAAAATTTACATGGAATATTTAAAAAATTTGTAGTTTCTTTAAAACAAAACGAAAATACTTTTTCTATTTTGGGTTTTTCTGCTGTTTTTCAACACTTTCTAATAGTGTAAACAAATGTAGAGAAAAAAAATTTTTTGACCTTGAAAAATTAAATTAAAAAATAAAATTTCATTTTTTTATCAAATGGACAGTTTTTATTTTAAAAAAAAATTTATTATAAAGGTGAGGTTTTTTCCTAAAAAAAATGTATAGGTCAAAACGTGGGACAAGAACTTTTAACTGGTCAAAATAAACATTTACTTCTGCAGTGCACCGACCCGCAGTGGAATTTTTTTTACAATTTACTATTTAAAAATGTCTACACCTAACAATTTTGAACCGATTTGAGTGTTCTTTGTCTTAAATTAAAGGGGAATAAATTCTTAAGACATCCTTCGAGGACAATTTTGGGGATTTTAATTATTTATAATTTTTTTTAATCAAAGTTAACAAATTAATACACTTTTTTAAAAAAGGACGTTTATTTTCTTATTCCGTTGCTGCACATGATCTAAATCAATTCAAATTCATCCAATATGACCACCAGATAATTACTAAAGCATAAAATAATTTATTTCAATTGTTATAAACAATATACAGCCCAACAACGCGCAGGGGCGGTGGATTGCAGAAGTAAATGTTTATTTTGACCAGTTAAAAGTTCTTGTCCCACGTTTTGACCTATACATTTTTTTAGGAAAAAACCTCACCTTTATGATAAACATTTTTTTTAAAAATAAAAACTGTCCATTTGATAAAAAAATGAAATTTTATTTTTTAATTTAATTTTTCAAGGTTAAAAATTTTTTTTTCTCTACATTTGTTTACACCATTAGAAAGTGTTGAAAAACAGCAGAAAAATCCAAAATAGAAAACGTATTTTCGTTTTGTTTTAAAGAAACTACAAATTTTTAAAATATTCCATGTAAGACCAAAAATTTAAACTTTGACCCCCTCCAGTTTTTATATTTGTTTAAATAAATTAATCATATTTGATATTTTTTATTGTATCTAATAGGACTACTGTTTGTGCAAACTTTTTACCTGATCCCAAACATTTCAAATTTGGACCTGGGTCACTTGACGTGAAACCCGTCAAATATAAATATAAAAAAAAATTTATATATATATATATTCGCTACAACTATGCCCTTTTGTTTGAATTGTGATTATTGTTCACAGTAATACATGCCGGACTTTTACTGATACTAAAATTTTGCATATTTTGGAGTTTGAAAAAGATGTCTGGAAGATTCAAAAAATTTGAAGAACTTAGTTCGAGACAGAAAAGAAGGCGGTTAAATAACATTCTCGAAAATATAATACATATCGAAGAAGATTCTGATAGATTAGAGTGGGACCCAGAAAATATTGTTAATGAAAGTGGTGATAATGATGGAAATAGTTTTAGCGGTGAACGTGAAAATGAAAATATTGATGCCGATACTGGTGATAACGACAATTTTATTGGTAACCATAATAAAAGTGATAATGATATTAGTGATGCTGAAAGTGAAAGCTCGCATGAAGATGACTTTGACGAGAATTTAGAGAATGTAGAAGATCCTGCTGAAATGGACAGTGATTCAGATGTGTTGGAGAACGAAGAAGAAGCTGATTTAGTATATTTACAAAGGAAAGCATTAAAAAATGCGTATTTAACTGCAAATATAAATCTTAGTCAAGAAAATATATTATTAAAAACCTTGCGAGAGTTTCCTTTCAATCAAATATCCTTACCAAAAGATGCAAGAACTGTCGTTAACACGCCAACTATAGTTACCATCTAATCCCTTTGAATTTTTTGAACAATTTTGTCAAGAAATTGTGGATATTCAACAAGAAGGAGGAATTATCGTAAGAGGTCAGTGTCTTCCATTAACATTTCATTGCTTTATTGCTGATGCTCCTGCGCGTGCGTTTGTTTTAAATCACTGGAGTCATAATTCTTCAAATGCCTGCTCGAAATGTAAAGTTGAAGGTCGTCGGTGTTTTACTCCAAAATTTGAAAGAACAATGGTTTTTCCGGGGGTTGAACATACAGTTCGTACAAATGAGGATTATGAAAATATCTTAGACGAAGATCAACATCATGGTAGAAGTCCTTTGTCTTCTTTTCTGCCTCTAGTAACGCGTGTACCATTTGAAGTTATGCATTCTGTTTATCTAGGTAATTTCAAAAAAGTATTTTTGGCACAAGTTGAGGGTAATTTTGGATTTCGACGACTGAGTGTTAGGAAATTAAAAATCCTTGATTCTAGAATAAAAGATCTTCAGATGTACTGCCCACCAGATTTTAATCGACGTCCTCAAGAATTTTTAAGTAAATTCCATAAATTTAAAGCAACAGAATTTCGACAATCATTGCTTTATACTGCACCCCCTGTGTTAAAAAATGTTTTTGAAGAAGATCATTATCACGATCTAATGATTCTTCTTGTTGTTATGCGTTTTCTTGTTTCAGAAGAAACGCCGCAAGAAATGTACGATTTTTGCAGAGAATGTATGAAAACATATGTTTCATTATGTGAAGATTTATATGGCGAACAGTTTCTGTCATACAATGTTCACAGTGGATTGCATTTGTTGCTGATGTACAAAATTTAGGTCCTTGTGATAAAAACAGTGCGTTTAGCAATGAAAGAAATCTGCAGGAATTGCGAAAGTGGATTAGAAAGCCTGGTCTAAAACTATCTCAGATATATAAAAGAATATCCGAAAAAGATGATTATGCGTTAAAACCTCTCGAATCTAATATTACAATTAAATTGTCCCAACGTCATACCGATGGATCATTACCAGAAAATATTACAGAGGATCTTTGTCAACAATTTAGAAAAGTGGAAGTTGGCAAGTACTCATTTTCTACTATATTGCGTGACAGTTCTAATCTAATCTATCAACCGAGATCGAGCTGGATTTTCCTCAAGAGGGGAAAGTAAGCACCTAAGTTATAAAACCGAATGTACCAGACTCCAGCTCGCTCGTTTATAGCAACCACTTAGAGTCCTGTTCTTCTCTAGAAGTCCAGTATCTCTTCTATCGATAGGTTGCTCACCCTGCTTAGGGTCAATAATTGCTTGACCCCAACTAGATAGCCTGATCCTAGCTAGCGTTGGGCATTCAGATAATATATGAGTCGAAGTTTCGTTACTCCCCCCACACAGTCTGCACATAGGTGAAACTTGTCTGCCTATTTTATGCTGATGGTAATTCAATAGTCCATCACCCGTAAGTAGACGAACTACGGTTCTAACTCTGATCTTATCGAGTTTTAGAAGATCGCTCGCTCGCCTCTTGTTGAGTGCTAGCCCTAACAGAGTTTTCGCTTTCCTTCCCACCCTAACGTTCGCCTAATACTTCTCATGTTCCTTTTGACCCCATCTTTCTATGGCTCCCTTAACCAAGCACGGCATTATTGCCACTGCTGGTTCAGGACCTACATATAAATTCCGTCTCGAAACCGATTTTCGCCAAGACGTCTACTTTTTCATTACCCTTGATTCCCGAGTGACCCGGTACCCAAATCAATGAAAGTTTATTTGCTAAACCCAACTCATCTATTACGTTACGGCATTCCCAGGCGAGTTTTGATTCTATTGTAGGATTTTTCAGAGCCCCTAAGGCCGCCTGACTATCTACACAAATACTAATCCTCTTGCCCTTTGTTCCATTTCGAATGGATATTTGGGCGCAAGTTAAAATCGCACAGACCTCTGTCTGCCAGACCGTGGCATATTGTCCTAGTGACTCAGCCACTTTAATGCAGCCAGTTTTTCGATAAATTCCGAAGCCTGCACCGCAGTCCATCTTGGAGCCGTCTGTATACCAGACTTCGTTTTAAGATTATCTGATAGAGCCAATTGACCATATTAGGCCTTAGTCTCCACGATGACCCTATTGCCCTCCTACACGCCCAAAACGTAGTACAGAACCTTGTATACTGATATTCGAAATGTTTCTTCCAAATCAACCTTTTATCCAGGATTACTCCCAGATACTTAGCCGATTCAGAAAAAGAAATTTCTTTTCCATAAAATATCGGTTTCTTCAAACTCGGTACCTTATATTTCCTTGTGAAAACTACTATATTCGTTTTCTCTGGGTTAACGGAAAGTCCAGTCAGATTGCACCAATCTTTGACAATCTTAAGTGCACGTTCCGTAAGTTCTAAGAGAGTCTCAATTGCGTGCCCTCATATAATTATAAGGAAATCATCCGCATAACTTTGCGTATAATATTGCTGGGTATTGAGGTTTCTAATTAACTCACCTGCCACCAAGCACCACAATAAAGGAGAGAGGACTCCTCCCTGTGGGCACCCTTTTGAGACAAGGCCTGTTACCTTAGACTCACCATACTCTGCTTCCAGGGCCCTTTCGCGAAGCATGCTGTCGATCCACATAACTAGCGGCTCGGGCACACCTCACATCCTGGCTGCCCTACAGATAGCTTTGCTAGAGGTGTTAGGGAAGGCACCTTCGATATCAAGAAAGGTACCAACCGCATAGCCACCACTGCTAATTTGTCCCTCTATTCTGCCTACTGCCGAATGGAGGGCTGTTTCTACTGAGAAGCCTGCTCTATATGCATGCTGTCCCTGATGATGTGAAAAACTCTAAGGCATTCCTGTCTAATAAAATTATCCAACAGTTTCTCTAACGTCTTTAATATAAAGGAGGTAAGGCTGATTGGCCTGAAGTCCTTCGCCGCAGTATACCCTGACCGACCCGCCTTCGGAATAAACACAACCCTCGTCTTTTTCCAAGACTCCGGTGTATAACCAAGAGCTATACATGCTCTCATAATTTTACACAGGGGTACTCTAATACAATCCAAACCCTTTTGCAAAAGAACCGGATATATACCGTTCCCCCTCTGAAGCCTTAAATGGTTTGAAAGAGCTTATTGCCCAATCAATCCCTTCCGGAGTTACGAGCCTGGCTGCTAGTTTCCAGTGTTCCTATGCCATGGCTGTTCTCCAAACCTTCTCTAAAGTCCAGGAAGTTTACTTCCATCAGGTGCTTTAGACACTTCCTTTTATCCTGGGCATACTGCCCATTAGGCAGCTTAATAGTAGTTAATTTTGTCATTGGGTCTCGAGCTAGTACTTTATGAAGTCTTGAAGCTTCTGGTACCCTCTCGATTCCCTCGCAAAAACTTCTCCAGCTGACACCCCTTGCCCTCTCTACTTCTTTCTTGTAAGAATCGCGAGCGGTATGATATTTATCCCATGCTCGCTGATGCCTACGTTTCTTGGCTTTATTAAAAAGCTTTCTTACAGGAAAGCGTCTAGACCTTTATAGATCAGACACGCTCTTGGAACTGGTTCCTGTGGTAAACTAACCAGCTCCCCACAGCCGTTCAGACCTCTAATTCTCCCCTTGAAAACCCAAGGTTCTTGAATAAAGGCTAAAGTTGTCTGCATCTTTGTCAAGCTCTTGGCTAAAATCGCTGAAGCGCCCTTACAATGATGCAAATTAATCTGCGTACAATGAATCCCGGAAGCAGCCATTTTTAAGGCTGATTCACGGTCTCCTCAGTCGCTTCCCTCCCCTGGGTACCCTGCCCAGCAGCTGTGTCAGTACCTTGCCTCGACACTCTTAGAGTGATTTGACCTAGCCCAAAACACAGTTTCAACTGCCGGGCTTGGAGAGCTTCAATGTCGCTTTCTGGTACTCCTAGCGCGAGAGCCCAGCCCACGGCCGCAGCTTGGTCTGCTCTCCCCTCGCCTCCCGAATACACCCTCCACGCGGATGTATCCACCCCGGTATTTTGTATACCGAGGTTTTTAAGGATTAAAGCCTGGTTCACCCTAGGACCGGGTACCCGAGCCACAACCCTTACCAGCTTGATCAGCCCAGCCGGATCAACCACCTTGATGGCGAGACCCCCTAACGCCTGACTGAACCTAGGTATACGGCTATTTAGCCATTCCCTAGATTCTGAATCCAGGCACTCTACTAGGATCGCTCCCCTAGTAAGGCGAACCTTTCCGAAATGAGGATAGGGTCCAACTTCGTCCCCCCCAATCTCATCATAAATTGCTACCCTTAATTGGTCCAGATTAGCCAACGTCATCTGGACCCTCGGATAGCCTTCTGCGACGATCGCCCCGGCTAATGACCATCTAGTGATCTCCGCAAACGATAAGGTTCCCCCTTGTGGGCCCCTTAACTTTTTTTGACGGCATTCTATTGTTAGGGGAAGCCTCATCCGAGTCCTGCCGTCTTTTTCTCGGCTCTCGACGCCCTCCCCCTCTCCGGTAGTGCTCTGAGAAGTGCCAGCGGTATTCGATCCGGTCCTCAGAGAGTCCCGAGCTCGCTTCCGCCTTCTCTTCCTCATTGCAGCCCCACTTGGTCTCTTGCCCTCAAGGACAAGGTTACCCAAGTGTTGCTGAACCCTATCTACTTGTTGCGAGGTTTGGTCCCCTGTGGTCCCCAAACCAGCTCTAAGCGTAGTCCCCATGCCGGCATTGAGATCCCCCGAAGAGGGCTCTACAATGCTCGCATGTTCTGAGTTTTTGTTGTGTGAATTTAAGTTAGTAGTATCCATTTTTGGTCCCACGAGAAAAGAGGAAAGAAGGTTCATCCTTGAAGAGCCTCTATTCAAGGATAAGGCTAAATACATCCAAGAGTTCGCCTGGTATCTCGGAGTCTCGTTTAAGATACCTCAATTCGAGCCCCACCACGGGGACGGGTCGTCCAGAGGACGGGCCCCTCCTGTATCATAACCGTTCCCGAACTTTACGAGAGCTAAGTAATGCCCAGCAATGGTCGTCCCCCGTCTAACCCCCCTCCCCACGGAAGAACCCGACGGATTTGGTAACCCTGGTATCATTCATCCCTGGACACGAGTTCATTACGGATTGGGTGGCAGAGACTCGCGCCTCAATCGCCATGGCACAGCCAACGTAACCATGGAAGGGTTTCTTCTTGGTCAGACTTCCACCAGTAAGAAGTCTTCGGAATGGACCCGCGGATAAGCCTCTGTCCATCCCGTCTCTCTCGATATCCCTCTAAATCCCCGTGCCCTGGGACACTGCCCAGCGAAACACAAAAGATTGGGTTTCTGTAGCGGCCGACCCATTTTGAAGGGTTCGCCCCCCAGTCCCCACGAGAGATATCGAGAAGTAGCCCCCTACTGGGTAAAGCCCCTTGTGCGCCTTCCACCAACGGCAAGGTCTTGAAACCCCTAGGGAGGATGCGTGACAGTTGCTGTCATCTAAAAAATTCAAAAATTTGTATTATAAAAAATATTATACAAATAAGAGGAGAAATCCGCTTAGTTGTTCAGCACTTTCGTTCTACTGCTGAAATTTACGATGTAGGAATATCATCTACTGCGCTAAATGTTTTCAAGTGTCATAATCTAGAGCAAAATTTAAGAGTTCTTTCATTAACGGATGTCAAATGTAAAAGTTATTTAATGCCAAACTGGAGTAGTGTAGAACGATAAGAAGAACTTATTGTTCAGGGCGAATGGATTTGTGCTACGCTATTGTCACCATTTCTGCTTCCTGAAAATATTTTATAAAAAAATTAAATCAAGCTTCTCTTAGTAAAGGTAAAGAAAAAGTACATAAATTAATGTAAATTAATTTTTGCAATTTTCTATTTTTTAATGAGCCTGAAAGAAATTAAATACGATGCTTTAAGCTTATTTGCCATTTTGAAAATAAAAGAAGGTGATAAATAGTGATTGAAATTTATTAAAAATGTTTGAAAATTTAAAGTTATCATTAAATATTTAAAAAAATGTAAATTATTATAAAAATACATTTTACTTTTATAAATATTTCTTTGTTCGGTGATTTTCATTGAAAAAAGGTGATACTTTTGTAACAAATAATTATTTGTTTTAATGTAGAATTTAATTTTTTATTTTCAGATAAAAATGGGAAAAAACAAATTAAAAAAGAAAATTGACAAACACCTAATTAAAAAATCCCGCAGTGGCAGACACTTACTACGACCACAGAAAATTATAACAACAAGCGATGAAGAAATTCCCAGCAAAAAGTCGAAAATATCAGTAACTACACAAAATAGAATTGCGCGCACCCTGCCACGCGGGACAGTACATTGCGGAGTTATAAAAATAGGATTAAATTAAATTAATAGGATTAAATTAAATTAATAGGATTAATTAAATTAAATAAAAGCATTTTGATATTTATTATTTGTAGGACAAGCACAGTCGCTCCAATGGATTTTCAACCGTCTGTGCCAGGAACATCAAATTCTAATTTTTCGAAGTCAGAAATATCAAAGTCTCAAATTTTAGTGCAATCATCTTCAAATTCTCAAACCTCCAAGCCAGAACTTTCAAGTTCCCAATTGTCGAAGCCAAGAATCTCAAATTACCAAATTTTTAAACCAGGAACATTAACATCTGAAGTGACAGTGACAAAGTAAGAAGTTTTTTATCTTAAGAGCTTTTAAAAGAATTTTAAAGATGAAATAAAAAATTGACAGTAAGTAATTGATTATTGTAAAAGATTCTAAAAACATTGCAAAGTATATAGCACAATGAATTATTTTTAGATTTTTAAAAGAGCAGAACACAATTCTTATGAAGCAAAATAAAATAATTGCTAATAATCAAAAGCATATTTTACTCTAATTAGCAAAACATGAAAAAAGTAATGAAGAGAAAGAATTGTCTAATAATCTTTTTCAACCTGCTGATGGTTTTCCGTTGAATAGCATAGAAGAGTTTCTGGAATTCGAGTCAGAAAGCGAAGAAAAACGCGCAAAACTTGTAAGTATAAAATTTTGAATTTTGTAGAAAACTATAATATACGTATTTTTTATTGAATGAAAAAATAATGAATGAAAAATTTATTTTTTTACATTTGGGTCCGATATGAAATAAATTTTGTATGTATGCTAATAATTATTAAAAATTTAATAATTACAATTTTTAAATATATATATATATATATATATATATATATAATAATGATGCTATCACTTGGTCGATAAAATATTAAGATGATGAAAAAAATCGATCACTCCGAGTCAGGATTGACTTGGAGTGATCGATTTTTTTCATCATCTTAATACAATTTTTAAAATTAACGAATTTCAGGTGCATAAGTCATTCACAAAATCAAAATTGGAAAAATTCATAAGCGAACAATTTGTCCACTTATCAAAGTAAATACTTCTGTTTAACTTTTATTAAATCATTCTCAAATATGATTGAACTTTTGTTTCATCACAAGCAGCTACTAACTATAGGAGGAGCCTCTATTAGACATTTTATATCTGCCGCTATAAGGCAAGCTGTGACAGACAAATTAGTCTGCAAGTTTACTTGGAAAGGCGGAGAAAATTCCGTTGAATTTGGAAATACGAAACTTGCTAATGTTTTATATTGTAAGTATATTTATATTTTTTTCATATAAATATTTAATTGAAGAACTGAATGGTGCGTATCCCCTTATAGCATCCAGTCTCTCAATTGAAGTCTGTATTATTAAGAGTTTTATTTTCTCTACTTTTTCTTATTCTAAATTTTTTTTAATTATAACTTGTTTTTCTTAGTTTTCATTATGATTCGACTTTTGTAATAATATTGCTTTTTTATTGAACTATTTTATTGTCTATTTTTTTAATATAATATAATATGTTACCTACAAAAATATTATTTATATAGTTGTTTTCCCATTATGTTTTCTGCTTTTTAAGATATATGTTTCTTTTTCAACTACTTTGTTTCTTTATCAAAAAGTTCCTCTTCTTTTCTAATATTTCTTTCATTATATCTTTTTTATTTTCAATAAATTCATTGGTTTCAAATTTGACTATTTTTTAAACACACGTTTTTTCGTCCTTGAAAACACAAAATGTAAATACTAAATATTGTTATATTATTATTATTATTATTTTTACAGCTACTGCTAGAAGGTGCACGAATTTTGAAGGTCCTAAAGATATAAACAGTTTCAAAATTCATATGCTGGAGGTGCTGCGCCATACAAAGCAGAGATATCGAAATTCGCTTAAAAAGAAAGGTATATCAGAAATTGATCTTGAAAAGGAAAACTTACAAAATGAAATCAACGAATTAGAAGCCATGAAGGAGAAAAATAGTAATGAAGATTACAACAGTGAAGAGGAAGAGAGAGAGGCAGATGATAAGTCGGTATCGCATCAATTAAACGCGTGGATTGTTTTCTTGAATTTTTTTTTGTTTTTAAATTTACGTCAAAACAGCTTTATTAAAACAGTAAGTTTCTGTTAAACTAATTTTTTTCCATTTAATCGATAGACGAAATATCATTAAAAATTACTGTTCTTAAATTAACATTTTTTAAATTACTTAAATTTAAATTTCTTACTACAATTTTTAAAACCATAAAATTTAAAGGAAAAGTTTAAATTTAATTTAATTTTAAGTGAAAAACTCTATACAAGCACATGAAAATCCAAAGATGTAAAATTTAAATAATTTTGTTTAAGTGTTAGTTTCTCCGAAATTTTATAATAACAAAAAAGACTGAAAATTATTATTGTAAGTTTTTTATTGTTTGTAAAAACGTGTTAAAATAAAAAGTTAAGTGTTCTATTTACGCATTTCTATTGATTAAATGAATTTTAAATTTATAATTTAAATATTTAATTTAATTTAGTGAATAGTGATTGCACATGCATTTCACCGTCACGCGTGCGACTTTCACATCATGCGTGGCATATGAGGACTCATCTGTGTGCTCAAATTAGCACACGCCGTGCGGGTTAATCGACACGTGTGCGAGCATGCGTCTGTCAATGTGCGCGCATTTTGCTATCTGGGTAATTGCTCAGAATAGTTTTTACCCTGCCGGAAGAATGGACTGAAATTGTACTGGGGAATTAGTACTGAGAGTTCACTGCTATTACAGTGAAAATTTGCTGCGTTTCAGCACTGAAATTGTACTGGGAAAAATTATCTGCAAAAGAGTCGCTATAGGTAATGTTTATGACCTGACCGACATTAAGTTGAACGACGAATATTTCTTTGTTAATGTTAAAAATAATTTTTATTTATATTTCAACATTATATTTGTTTTTCATGAACTCAGATTCTTTACAAGTAATTAGTATGTATGCTAAATATTCATGTGAATCTAAATTTAAAAATAATATCCGTTTTTACTTATTATTTAAATTGTCAAATTCTTTATCTATAAAATTACGTTTACGTTCAAGCAACAATTTTTAAAAAGCGACCATTGTCTGAAATTGCGCAACAGACTGTTTACATGTTTCTCTTTTTCTAATAAATGTAAATTTTCCGTTCTGAACGCAGTTTTTACCGATAAGGTGTAAATGCTCCATGACTTGCAGACACACCCAAGTAACCTGTAAGTTTGCAGCAAACTTACACCACAAGATTTGCAATCTTACACGTAAGCTTGCTGCAAGTTTGCTGCAAGTACAAAAAGGTCCTACTTGCTGCAGGATTGCACAGCAAGCTTAGGACAAGCCAACACTGCAAGTTTCTTGAAAATTCCCAAATATTTAAGTATATAATATTAAGCAAATTATTTAATATTTAATTTTTATTTATATTTTAATATATTTAATATTTATTTAAAATAATATAATGGTAACAACGTTATAATAAAAATATTATTAATTTCTCCAATCCACAGAATTGTAGTTGTGTACTATTATCCGTGATCAGTGGATAATAGTAAAAAATTGTAAATGTCGTGGCAGACATTAATTATTGATATTATGATCTAAGATACTATTGTGAAGCACTTGTTTAGGGGACTGATACTTATACTCTCCGCGAGACAAGTCGTGCGCGAGAGAGGTATTTCTCGCCATCTATCAGGGAATTGGAAAAGTAATAGAAGTTTCTCTTATAATGCTCTAACTCCGTGATAGATGGCGAGAAATACCTCTCTCGCGCACGACTTGTCTCGCGGAGAGTATAAGTATCAGTCCCCTAAACAGGTGCTTCACAATAGTATCTTAGATCATAATATCAATAATTAATGTCTGCCACGACATTTACAATTTTTTACTATTATCCACTGATCACGGATAATAGTACACAACTACAATTCTGTGGATTGGAGAAATTAATGACATTTTTATTATAACGTTGTTGCCATTATTTTATTTTAAATAAATATGAAATATATTAAAATATAAATAAAAATTAAATATTAAATAATTTGCTTAATATTATATACTTAAATATTTGGAAATTTTTAAGAACATATTTCTCATAACATTTTTACTTTTTATTATAATAATTTATCACAAGTGTGCATGTTATATACAACTGCCTTTATTATTGAATAAAATTCACGTAATTTAGGTCTAGTTCCACAACTGTTTTAACCAAAGTTTAAGACGTTGAACTCGATCCAATTACAATTACTAAACAAAGTTCACCGACTTAAAGTTCGGTTAAAAAAAATTGTGGGATTTTCAATAATCGCATTAGAGAAAAACAAGTAGACATTTATTATTCTAAACAATAATTAAAATTAAAAGGTTTTTCAAATAATTTTAATTACTAATTTTAAACAACTTATTTCTTTAAAAAATTGGAAATGAAAGTCATGGAAAAAATTACGAATGATGGGAATTTCTTTAATTTGAATTAAGAAATATTTTACTTTAGACGTATTTCAATTGAATTCTATTTTTGAAAAATTAGTAAGAATACATTATTTAAATGCAATTTGTTTTTTATTATAATTAAGAAGTAAAAAAAACTGTTAATAGATCAAAGCAATCTTTTCTTTCTTAAAGTCGATCCGAAGCTACCATTATTTACAATGTTTATATTATGTTAAATGTCATTTATATATTCAAACCTGTGTGATTCTACGCAGAAACCTCGCCATTTTGTTCTACAGCACACACGACTCAGGGGAATGACACCTTCATAGGCCTCAGACTTTGCGTGACATAGTTTATGAGCGGTCCTTCTCAAGTCTAATCACACTAAGGGTGCATTTATACGACTATCGATAAAAAAAATTTACCGAAAAAAGTCAAAATCGCTTTCACACCAAGGTGTAAAAGTGTTTCTGCAATAGCTTTAAAATGCATTTTTTTATCCGATTCAGAGTAATTGCACATCCTGCATATAAATTTACAATAATTTGCTTTGTATTTGATGATTTCAAGTGAATTTATAAGTAGAATGTGCAGTTACTTTAAATTAGAAAAAACAAATGCATTTTAAAGCTATTGCAGAAACACCTTTACAACTTGGTGTGAATGCGATGGCAGCGTTTTGCGTTGCGTTGTAATAAGAGAGAATGCAGCAAACGTATATTTGCGTCTTTTTATCTCCCATTACGACGCAACGCAAAACGCTGTCATGGGACTCCACCCTGACTTTTTTCGGTAAATTTTTTTCTACCGACAGTCGTATAAATGCACCCTAAGGCCCACGCAAAATGAATACGGATATGGGAACAGTTTGTAAAAGGCCTTTCTCCAATAGGTTTTAAAAAGTGTGCGAATGACTGCGTTGCGTTGATTTTAGCATGTGTTGCTATAGCAACCGACGCAGACGCAGTCATTCGCACACTTTTTAAAACCTATTGGAGAAAGGCCTTAAATAAATCAGAGTATAATCAGCAATCAAAATCAGAGTAAATTCTGGTTTATTGTAACAAATTTCTAGGAAATTTGAAAAAAAAATTCCAAAATGTAGGTTCAGTTTTAGGTGTTTCCGACATTCGCCCTCTGAATGCTCTGAAAATACGAAACGTGGTTGGTTGGGTTAGCGGAATAGGGAATTTTGATTGGCTAAAACTCTAAATTGCCAATTTTCATGCTCGGTCACATTAAGGCCAACGCAGAATAGAATCTTTAACCTGAACCGCAATCGTAACCGTAACCGTAAGAATGAGTTAGAGAAGGGTAAAAAATATACTTATCCTTGTTTAACTCTTTCTTACGCTTACGGTTACGATTGCGGTTCCGGTTAAAGATTCTATTCTGCGTTGGGAAATTACTTTTTACTTATGATTTTCTAAACGAATCGTTTTATAAAACACTAGCTTTCGTGCCCGCCTTCAGGGGGCTCAAAATCTAGCGCCATGTACCCCATAATATTTCATAAAAAAACCTTATAAATAATTTTAAATAATCTTTTTAAAAATAATTTAATAATTATTTTATTTAAATTTACTCATCTTTATATATTAAATTATAATAGTTTACACACATTTCACATTATTTATCAATATATATTATTTTTTTTAATTATTACTCATTAGTA